TTGGAGTGAAGTTCCGACCTGGGCCACGGGTACGTGAAGGTCTGATCACTGTTGCGCTTTGAGTGCTCTGAGCAGAGGACTCAATGGAACAAGGTAAAAATGCACCATGGTCCACCCAGGAGCTCGTCCTGCAGCTGTGTCCATCACACTATGGGTCCCGCTGGAGCTGGTCGCTGCCTGTGACGGAAGCTGCACAGACTCTCTGAGCACCTTCATCCTCCCCGTAGCCAGAAGCTCTGCCCTGGGGGTGCAACAACCACACCATCTCCTCACTGGCCACGAGGGATTAGCACCTGCCTGGCGGTGTCATTCCAGGCATCGAGGCCCCTGACAGTTGAAAGAGAGGTAGGTAGAGCTGCTCCAGCACTTCCCCCCGCCCAATAAGATGCCAGGTCTGTGCTTCCACCTACACTGAATAAGGAGAGAGAGGAGCTGACTGGCAGGGGCACCAAGACTACCCCCTCTGCTGAAATGGAAGGTTCTAGGCTCAGGCAGGCCCAAGGGGTGTAGGTTTTTCTTTTTGTGGCTCCAATACCTGAGCCACAGTTTCCTCATCTGTACAAAGGAAAGTATCTCCTCAACTCTAGAGGTGGACACGACCCCTTCACCTGTTGTTGCTGAGCACCCACTGTCTGCTAGATGCCTAGGACATGAGCTGAACCGAGCCCACAGCTCAGGACACCCTCACAAGCAATTGGGGACACAGGGAGCTTCAACAGATGCACAAGAATTGTGACAGGAAGTTTGAGATGACACAATCTTCCCTGGAAGGGGCACCTGACACGCTCCTGGCCAAGGGGGCATCATGCAGCCCAAGGGGGCTCCAGCAGAATGACCCTTGAAGTGGACTTGGTCAGGTGAATGGGGTGGGGGAGAGAGAAGGAGGCTGTCAGAGAGGGGCCACGGGCCTGAGACAGCAGGAGCAGAGGGCAAGACTCTCGTCAGCTTGTCTGGAGGCTTGGACTTTAGCCTGAGCACGGACAGTTGGAGCCACTGAAGAGCTCTTTGAGGCTGTCAATAAATGACGTGACCCAACAGGTTGTCTTGTGAGGGCAGCGAGGACCGAGGGAAGGACTGAGACAGCCCTCAGGAAACATTCTGTTCCTCCCTTTCCTCTCCCCAGACAGGTAAAGATAGGAGGACGTGAACCAGCCCGCCCAGGACAGCAGCGACGTGCCCTTGCTCTCCAGGTAAATTCAGACCCCGGGCCCAGCTTCAGAAAGGACCATCCACGGATGAGTGGGTCTGGCCCTGCCTTGTCCAGCAGCAGGTGATCAGCCCACAATCAAGGATTGTGGATTTTACGGACACATGTGACCAGAGACGTGGTGCTATCTTTATTATCAACTTCATGTTTTCCAGTTTCACGTTTTGAATTTCATGACTAAATTCCCGTCCTTGATTCCTTTATAAAGCACACTGGCACTATCCTGCAATTAAGTCACTTGAGCGCAACGTTTTCTCAGGTGGCATCCTGAAGCAGAAAGGTGGAAGAATATCCTAATATTATATTATCAATAACTTGTCATCTATTATATGATAAAACACCTTTGCCTTTCAATCTGAAATATTCCTTCTTCATCTCTAGAGAACAGACCTACTTTGTCTTTTTAGAAATTATAGAAAATCAGGCCTCCCCTGGTGGCGCAGTGGTTGAGCGCGGGGCTGCAAAGCTACCCGCAGCCTCTGCAGCACTGGTTCAATTCCAGCCACTGTCGAGGGTCCCACATGGCATGACAGACCTCTCCTGTATCGCCCACTGCACCCCTCAGCATTGTATTTTCATCAGTCTGCCTGTTCTGTTCCCCACTCTGGTTCTGGTGAATTCTCTCATCCTCCCGCGCTTCTGACTGTACCCAGTGCTTGTATAAATAAATAAATAAATAAATCATTTTTAAAAAAAATAAAAAATAAATTATAGAAAATGACACCTATGTTTTTTTATTAATACTCTGTTTTAGGAATGTTCCATAATTGGAAAAGAGTAGCATACCTAGGTGGGACTTCCTATTTGTATGCAATTGGCAGATTCAATGCAATTCCAGTAAAAATTTCAATGGTGTTCTTCAATGAAATGGAGCCAATACTGTTCAAATTCATATGGGATCACAAAACCTCTAACAGTGAACATTCTTCTGACTAAAAGGGGGGAAGAATGGAGGTGTTACACTCACAGACATCAAACAATACTGTTAGGGGGAGAGGATGTCCTAAGCAAACTCCATACAGGTTTTGTGGTCTCCACCCCCACTCCAGACCAAAGCCATCAAGATGCTGGGAATGACAAATCCCATCATCACCAGAGGGAGGATTGCTGGGACCTGAGGGTGGAGTTAAGCAGCCAGGTTTGGTATAAAACCAGACATGTGGGCCTTGGCTCTCTCTCTCTTAGCCTCATAACTCTTGGCTTTTCACTAGCTCTCAGCATGCCATTGGGATTCCAGGTCAATGGATCTGGTAGGACACGTTCACGAATTTTCTCCCTCTTTTTGTAAATAAACCTTTTATTAACCTTGTGTGTGTGCCTGCAGTTGAGTATTAATAAGTCAATTTTAAGCACGCAGGTGAGGAACCACAGGCAACCCATTTCATGTTGGGGTTGCCAGTAACAATATTACAAAGCTATGATAATAAAAACATTATTGGAACAAAAACAGACACAGAGACCAATGGAATCTAATTTAAATCCCAGAAATAAAACCACACTTCCATGACACAGGAGCAAGGAATATACATTGGAACAAGAATAGCCTCTTCAATAAATGGTGCCAGAAAACTAGATTGCAACATGCAAAATAATGAAACTAGACCACTATCTCACACCATGCACAAACCAACTCAAGTCGATGAAAGACTTGAATGTGAAACCTGGCATCATAGACTATATAGAAGGGAACATAGGCAAACACTCAATGACACAATCATCAGAAACATCTTTGAGGATTCTTCTCCAGAAGCAAGGAAAACAAAGGAGAATGTAAACAGTTGGGGACACATAAACCTAAAAATCTTCAGAACAGCAAGAGACAGTGATCAAAACAAAGAGACGCCCCACTGAATGGGAGAAAATATTTACAAACCATATGACATATAAGGGACTGATATCAAAGATTTACACTTGATCTTAGCCAAAAGGCCGAGAAGCGATTGATATCAAAGATTTACAAAGAGCTTACACAACTCAAAACAAACAAACAAACAACCCAGTCCAAAAAGGTGCAGAAGTCAAAAGACACTTCTCCAAAGAAGAAATGCAAATGACCAACAGGCACAGAAAAAATGTTCAGCATCACTAATATCAAGGAAATGCCTATCAAAACCACATAGATGCCACCTCACTCCAGCAAGAATGCTCTACATTAAAAAAAAAAAAAAACTGGAAACAACAAATGCTGAAGAAGCAGTGGAGAAAAAGGAGCCTCTGGCACTGCCGGTGGGCGCGCAAACTGGTCCAGCCACTATGGGCAGCTGTGTGGAGGGTCCTCAGAACACTGAAAATGGGTCTACACATGTCGGGGCCCAGACCTGAACATCTGGGTTCTTGCCTGAAGCAGGTTCTGAATGTTAGCTCGAGGGAAGCTTTCAAGTTTCCTATTGTGACAGCTGACCCTTTCCCCTGCTTGCTGCTTGTGGCTTATTTGCATTGGTGGTCTCTCCTTGTTCGAGATAACGAGAGACCTCCTCCTCTGAACCCTATGGAACATTGTACACATTCCTGAATAAATGAGACTGGCGATGATCCTGGCTTTGTCTAAACTCCTCGCGTGCCCCTGGCCTATACCAAGCCCCTGCTTCCTCCCCCGGGTACCGTGTTGATCTGCCCGGCTGGCCCGTACATACACATGATCCGGTGTTCCACTCCTAGGAATCCACCAAAGGGACAAAAAAAAAAAAAAAAACCCAGGAAACCCGAACTGCTGTGTTCATTGCATCCCTATTTATAATAGCCGTGACATGGAAACAACTCAAATGCCAGAAAACAGATGAATGGATCAAAACGCTGTGGTACAGTTACACCATGGAATATTGCTCAACAATCAAAAAAAGACCCATTCATGCCACCGGTGGCGATATAGATGGAGCTGCAAGGGATGATGCTAGCCACAATAAGGCAGGAGAAAGATAAACATCAGGTGGTTTCACTTACATGCGAAAAATAGAGAAACTGAACAAAAGGTAGAGAAAAAGACAACCCTAGCAGGCTGACCAAGACCTGAGGCACCTGTGGACAGCCTTACAGCGCTGCGCTCAACCCGCTGCACCACCAGGAAGGCCCTAATTTACCATTTTTAAACCATTGAGTGCCACAGTTAAGTGGTATTAAATACATTCACACTGTTGTGCGACTATCACCACCATCCATCTCCAGAACTTTTCCATTTTCCCCAGCCAAAACTTTGTACCCAGGAATAACTCCTCGTTCTCCCTCCAGGCCTTGGCAACCACCATTCTACTTCTAGACTACATTTTGATTGAGATTTCCTTCCAATTAATAAAAGAGAGTGCCCCTTGCTGAGTAGGGATTGCTTCTATATCGGCAGGTCTTTCTGCATATATGTGATTGAGTTTATTGTAAGAGGTAAGAGAAAATGGGGTTGCATAAGCGTTTTCATACTGGGTCTCTCCTATTCACAGGCCTCAGCAGCTCTGCATGGATCTAATTTTTCCCTGTCAAGTTGCCCTTATGAGGCATTTCCCTACTATAGATAGGCCAGCAGATTTCATAGCTTTCCCTCTGTTCACTTGTGACAAGGCTTCTCCTAGTAATTAATGCCCTCAATCAGCCTATCCATGGTGAGGATTTTGTTTAGGTTCCTGTTTGCACCTTCCGTTGTTCCTTCCTGTACCATCACAGACTTGGCAGATGTTTTGCCATATCTTTGGGTTTAAGTCTTCATTCTGCAGGACCCTGCACCCTTGGGACCCAACAAATGCCCAGCTGCCTCGTGATTGGAAGTGGAAACTTGTTTTTTTTTTTTTTTTCTTAGCAAGAACTTGAAGGTCATGTCTACGGAACACTTCTCATCCACAAGAGAGGAAGGAAGCCCTGGCTCAAGAACTAACTTTAGGTCCAATCAGAGGAAGATATTAAACTTGCTCTTGGAGAGAGATAATTCCTTTACCGTCTGTACAGATCTCCCAAGAACTCCAGTGAACAAACTCTTTAGTGATTCTGCAAATCTAAGCACTTTGTCTGGGTAAATCTACTTTTCTTTTTGACCTATTGCCTTTGCTTTTGCAGGCAAATTTTCCACGTTTAAAAAAAAAATACCTGGACTCAAAGATCAGAGTTTAAGTCTCAGCTCTGCCCTTGACTAATTGTGTGATCCATTTTTAAAAAAAATTATTTATTGATGCATACAAGAACTGGGGTACAGGCCAGAGGTGTGGGGGGTGAGAGGATTCACCAGAGACAGAGTGGGGAACAGAACAGGCAGATTGACAGAAATACACTGCTGAGGGGAACAGTGGGTGAGTCAGGAGAGGTCTGCTGTGCCATGTGGGAAGCTCCCTGGCTGGGGATCGAACTCATGCTGCAGTGGCTGCGGATTGCTTCATAGGTTGCATCTTTTTTTTTTTAAGATTTATTTATTTATTTATACAAGCACTGGGTACAGTCAGTAGCGCGGGAGGGTGAGAGAATTCACCAGAGCCAGAGTGGGGAGCAGAGCAGGCAAAAAGACCTAAGTACACTGCTGAGGGGAGCAGCGGGCGGCAGGAGAGGTCTATGCGCCATGCGGGACCGTCCTCCAGTGGCCGGGAGCAGCCAGGGATTGAACTGGCGCAGCAGAGGCTGCGGGCAGCTTCGCAACCCAGCGCTCAACTGCTGCGCCAACGGGGAGGCCCTTCATAGGTTGCATCTTAACCCCTTGTGCCACCAGGGAGGCCCTAATTGTGTGATCCTACTGAGCCTCAGACTTCTCTTCTGTGACAGAAAAGTAGAAAATAAATGATATCTGGAAAAAGTCTTTGAGAACTACTGCATTTTTTCTATTGGCAACTTATTAGTATTAATGTTATTATACTTTAAAATTCTGGTCATGCCATGCTCTAATGCTTTAGCTAACAGAGCTATGTTTGAGAAGTACTTGAGACTTGAGGAATGCTCTTGGTGCATAAGGCTTATGTGGGGTCAAGAGCCTCTGTGGGGGCCTCCCTGGTGGCACAAGGGGTTAAGCACCACACTGTGAAGCAATCCATAATCTCTGCAGCATGAGTTCGATCCCCGGCCAGCCAGGGAGCAACCCACATGGCACAGCAGACTTCTCCTATCTCGCCTACTTCTCCCCTCAATGGTCTATTTCAGTCAGTCTGCCTGTTCCCCACTCTGCCTCTGGTGAATCCTCTCAACCTCCCACTTCTCTGGCCTGTACCCCAACTCTTGTATGCATAAATAAATAAATCTTAAAAAAAAAGAGCCACTGTGGCCAATAAACTATGGTCCTCAATGAAAAAAAAAAAAAACCTCATTTCGATATGTCAGTAAGGAGAAAATTGAGGTATACATTATTGTAGTTAAAAAAAAAAGTGGGATATTTTCTCAACCTAGTCTGAAAATTTTCCAAAAAGCAATTAGATTTCTTTACATTGTTCATATGATGTGATAGTCATTTAGGGGTGATTCAGTAAAGAGGATAATGTATTGGTCTTGGGCCTCCCTGGTGGTGCAGTGGTTGAGTGCTGGGTTGTGAAGCTGCCCTTAGCTTCTGCAGCACCGGTTCGATCCCCGGCTGCTCCCGGCCACTGGGTGAGGGTCCCACATGGTGCGCAGACCTCTCCTGCCGCCCGCTGCTCCCCTCAGCAGTGTACTTTGGTCCCTCTGCCTGCTCTGCTCCCCACTCTGGTTCTGGTGAATTCGCTCACCCTCCCGCACTTCTGACTGTACCCAGTGCTTGTATAAATAAATAAATAAATCTTTAAAAATAAATGTATTGGTCTTAAAGATATAACCAAATGGAAATTTTGATGTATTGTTATGTCTCAACAGAAGCACTCCAAAACGTTGCCTTGATCTTTCAAATCATAGCAGTGGAGAGATATCTGCTACTCAGCTCACCACCTCTCCATACCTTGATGAAACTGGTAGGAACTACTGATGTAAATGCCTTAAAAGAAAGTATGACGTTTAAAGTAGATAACAGGATTGTAGGATAGAGGTGGAAGGTGGTAAAAGAGGGTAGAGAGCCTTGCAGTTTTTTTTAAGGTACATTTATTTATTTTTTGTGTGTAGAAGAACTGGAGTGTAGGCCAGAGGTAAGGGGCGGGGGGCAAAGTGAGAGGATTTACTAAAGACAGAGTGGGGAGCAGAACAGGAGGATTTACAGAAATACACTGCTAAAGGAAGCAGCAGGTGAGACGGGAGTTCTGTGCACCATATATGGGTTGGCTACCTGGTCTGGATTCAAACTCAGGCCCATAACAGTGATAACACTGAGACTGAACTCCTATGCCGCTGGGGAGGCCTGAGAGCCTTGTAGTTGAATTCTGTGAGTGGCTAGAGAATTTTTCATGAGAAATATTAAGCCAAAGGAAAGAAAAAGATAACCCTGATAAGAGTCACTTTGCATTTAAAAGTTTGACAGGAAGAAATCATTTTGTTGACTGATTGTGGGAATGAAAATTAGAAAGTAAGAAGAAAATAAGGAGGATGTCAAGCTTTATGTTTCTAGTCTAATCTCAGCAGAGGCAAAGAAACCAACATAAAGAAATACTTTGTCACCTGATTCTCAAATGTTTTTTATAGGGTCTGTGTTCAAAAGGAATGTTTTTACTAGTCAACCATTTTAATGTTTGTTCTCATTTCAGAATTCTTGTTTGATAAGTATTCTTTTCTTTTCTATTAGTGTAGTGTACTACTTCCCAGAATTTTTTTTCTTTTTAATGTCACATGTAGATTTCTGTTACTGTGAAATTATGACTTGTATCATGGTAACTTGTATCATGAAGTTGCTGCCTACCAGGAGTGTTTGTGTTCAAAAAGTTAGCTTTTGAAATTATCCTGGCTTACTGCTAGTGAAAATCAGAAGGAAAAACAGGATGTTTCATTAATAATTACTCTCCCTATCTGATTACAGGTCACTGGGACTCCTTAGGACCTCAGGAAATACAATTAGTTGGGATGTAAGTTCTTTTGCTAAATGAACAACTTGATATTTAACATAATGGACACCCTACACATTGTATTAGAAGAGACATAGGTATAGGCCTCCCTAAGGCCTAAGATGGAAGAAAGAAAGTTTGGGATGCCCAAGACGCTGAAGAATGACAAAACAGTAGTATTTGGGACTTAACTGACTGCAGGTTTTTTTTTTTTTTTTTTAATCTACAGCAGACATCACCAGCATGTTAAAAAATACAATCCAGTGAGTAACTCCTCTTTTTTGGGGGTTTGGGTTTGTTTCTCAGGTGGGAGGCAGAGAGTTTCCAGCTCACCTGCAGCTCCAGAATGCTGATGGTTTAATTTTTTATTTTTTATTTTTTTAAAGATTTTTTTATTTATTTATACAAGCACTGGGTACAGTCAGAAGAGCGGGAGGGTGAGAGAATTCACCAGAGCCAGAGCGGGGAACAGAGCAGGCAGAAGGACCGAAGTACACTGCTGAGGGGAGCAGCGGGCGGCAGGAGAGGTCTGCACGCCATGTGGGACCCTACGCGCCATGTGGGACCCTCCTCCGGTGGCCGGGGAGCAGCCGGGGACCGAACCGGTCTGCAGAGGCTGCGGGCAACTTCGCAACCCAGTGCTGAACCACTGCGTCACCGGGGAGGCCCAAAATGCTGATGGTTTTAGATCTCTTCTAGGCACCGCTGCTTTGTAGCACTCCGAATGTGGTGGACCACAGATACAGGAATAAAGAGGCAATACATAGCTCATCCTCAAACAAAGAAAATGTGAGTGTTTAATGGAAACCTAGATGTTGTCTTTTTCTGCCTTTGAGTGGAACAACTCATCAGTATCATCATGAGTTCTAAGAGCTGTATGTGCCTCAATATACTAGACAGCAATTTGTATCATTAGAAGAAAAAAATTATTTATGATTTGTTAGTTTTGTTTTTTTCTCTGTTAAGTTTGAACCCAGGATAGAAACCTAGCTCTAAGACTTCCATAGCAAGTCATCATTATTACTCTAAGGACAAATATCTGTTACTGTAGTGTAAGGAATGGGGACTTTTTAAAATTTTTATTTATTTATTTATTTATTTATTTATTTATTTATTTATTTATTTATTTAAAGATTTATTTATACAAGCACTGGGTACAGTCAGAAGCACGGGAGGGTGAGAGAATTGATCAGAGCCAGAGCGGGGAACAGAACAGGCAGACTGACGAAATACACTGCTGAGGGGAGCAGCGGGCGTGGCAGGAGAGGTCTGTCGTGCCATCTGGGACCTTTGCCAGCAGCCGGGGATTGAAATGGCGCTTCAGAGGCTGCGGGCAGCCTTGCAACCCAGCTCTCAACCACTGTGCCATCAGGGGAGGCCCAAGGGGACTTTTTTTTAATAGATAGAAATAATTTACATGACTTGTTCATAGACTCTTTGCATGAAATCACATACAAGTCTGTGTTTCTTTAGTTCTTATTTCCTCCTTAGCCTAGCTTTATAAACCCTATTCTGAGGAAGTCATCATGCTTTTTTGTGGGAGCCTCAGATTGTCGTCATTTCCAAATTGAAAGTGACCTCTCCATAGTCACCTAATCACTAAGATTATTCTCTAATTACTCAACTAATTCTCTTTTCTAGCCATCTTTTTTCTTTTCACACCTCGCATCCTTTGCCCCAGGTCAGCATCCATAAAAGAAAGCTGCTGTTCTTTTACCACACTGACGAAGTTATACCCATGTTTTTATCTGTTATAATCAGCTTTTTCTTGGTTTTAATATTGACTTTCTAGTTTCCCTTTATAATCACTTCTTAAAAATCTCACCATCCCGTCCCCAGTCAGGCTCTCAATTTCCCTCACTTCCTTTTGCTTATAGTATACTCTAAAGTAAATCTACATACCATATATCAAATTCAAACCGTAATTTGTATCTTTGGGATATAGAGTCAACCCTAATTACATTTAATATATTTTGTAAGGGTTATTTATGGCTTCATCAGATGAAATGTTTTTTGGAAGGGCCTAATAACACTTCTCTTCCTCAAGCCAACGTAGTTTCTGTTATGCAGGAAAACAGCACTTTGAAGTCCTTGGGGTGGTGGGTACCCAGGAATCTGAGATTTCATCAGAGACCAGGGGGACCTTATGTGTCTTCCCATTCTCTAATGGTGAGTCACTAAACATCTTTATTAAAGGTCAGTTGAGATGTGGGTATAGGATGGCAGATCCTTTGAAATTTTTTTAAGCTGATGAGAATGAGGAAAGTATTTGGAGAATTAACATTCTGGCAGGGAAAGGGAGGTGACTTATGTCCTCTGATCTTTGTATTTGTTTATGAAGAAAAAATTCTAATGCCTTTTATTTATTTGTTTAAAAGATTTATTTATTTATGCGTATAAGAACTGGGATACAGGCCAGAGGTGTGGGGGAGTGAGAGGATTCACCAGAGACAGAATAAGGAACAGAACAGGTAGACTGACTGAAAATACACTGCTGAGGGGAGCAGCAGGCTAGACAGGAGAGTCTGCTGCACCATGTGGGTCACCTTTCTGACTGGGGATCAAACTCATCCTGCAGTGGCTGCAGATAGCTTCATAGTGCTGTGACTTAACTCCTTGCACCACCAAAGAGGCCCCTCCTCATTTCTTTTCAGTTTTTCTTTTTTTTTTTTTTTAAGATTTATTTATTTATTTATATAAGCACTGGGTACAGTCAGAAGCGCGGGAGGATGAGAGAATTCACCAGAACCAGAGCGGGGAGCAGACCAGGCAGACTGACAAATTACACTGCTGAGGGGAGCAGCGGGCATGGCAGGAGAGGTCTGCGTGCCATGTGGGACCCTCGCCGGTGGCCAGGGATAGAACCGGCGCTGCAGAGGCTGCGGGCAGCTTCGCAGCCCAGCACTCAACTGCTGCGCCACCAGGGGAGGCCCTCTTTTCAGTTTTTCACTGTGTATAGTTTTACGAAGTTGAGGCTCTATCACATATAAAACTTTATATCCTTTTTAAAAGCTAATAATAAAGCTCATTGTAAACTTTTTTGAAGATTTATTTTTATTTATTTATGCATTAAAGAGCTGGGAAGTAGATCAGAGGTGTGGGGGGTGAGAGGATTCGCCAGAGACAGAGTGGGGAGCAGAACAGGTGGATCTACTGAATAGAAACAAATATAGATAACACTGACTGATTGAAATTGGAAGTCAATGGTATGATAAAATGAATTGAAAAATTCTGAATCTCACTGATTCTGTTCTTGACAGGCCATAACTTTACAATTGTTATTCTACTTATAATAAAGTGGTAGGTAGGTAAAACTGTAAACATTTTGTAATAGTCATACTTCATTGTCGGTTTTAGTTTATTGTCTTAGCCAGGAATTTATATATTGGGTTTTCCTCCCTAGGTAAAATCTTAATGTAAAATATTTACATACATATATATAAACCATAACAACCAGATACAATCTAGTCGACTGTTGCTTTATTCGTCATAATGTTTATTCCAAAATTGCTTTATATTTTTCTATAATTATCACTATAATCTGATTACATAAAATAACATACTTCATACAACAAAAAACAATTATTTGGGGTTACAAGTAAGCAGAAAACATTCAAGTAGCCTAAGTAGGAAAGATTTTAATATGTCTCAAAGAACCTAAAACAAGGCCTCCCTGGTGTTGCAGCGGTTGAGCACTGGGCTGTGATGCTTCCCGCGGCCTCTGCAGCACCGGTTTGATCCCCAGCCACTGGCAGGGGTCCCACATGGCGCGCAGACCTCTCCTGCGGCCCGCTGCTCCCCTCAGCAGTGTATTTCGTCAGTCTGCCTGTTCTGTTCCCCGCTCTGGCTCTGGTGAATTCTCTTGCCCTCCCTCTCTTACACTTCTGACTATACCCAGTGCTTGTATAAATAAATAAATAAAATCTTAAAAAACAAACAAAAAAAAGAACCTAAAACAAGGATACAACTGAGAATCTATCCGAACCATGTATTCAGCATTTTATTTTTTCTACTTTATTTCTCTAAGCATTTGGTTTCATTCTTTATTCTTGGTGCAGAAATTCTATTCTACTTAGTGCAGCTGGCAGAATTATCAATGATGCCCGTTACACTGTGTTATAGGCACTGAGGTTAGACTTCTTTTTTTTTTTTTCCTTTTTTTTTTTTTTTTTTTTTTTTTTTGTGTGAGCTCTCTTGTGTGGGCGCTCGCGCTAGCTCTTTCTCAGTCACTCTCTCTCTTGCACTCTCTCACTCTCTCCCTCTTTCATCCCTTTCCATTATCTCCTCACTCTACCCTCTTCCTCCTCCCTTTTTTCTTTCTCTGTCCTTCACATCATATCTCTTATTCTTTCTTTCTCTTCACCCCATGTTCCAAAATCCTTTGAAATAAAATAGGATTAGCCCATCGTGATAGGTGTCCACATTACAACAACTTCAGAAGGAAAGTATTATTTCATTTCAAATGGCCATTTCATTGGCCAGTCAACAGCATTTCTTAGAAAAAATGACTGAAACAGAATGAAGTACTACTCCGCAGACAGAACAAATGATCATGGCCTAAATGTATACAACTTTTGTTGTGTGAATTCATGTATTTTTGATTTGTTCCCCAAATATCTCACTTTTTTCTAAATCATATCAGTTTGTGTATTAATTATGCTAATATATTAATGTAAATAATGCTAATTATTTTGTATTATTTTAATTTCTAAAGTGATGCATTAAATGAATAATACTAATTTCCATAACATATATATTAATTTCCTTGAATACATTTTGATATCAGATACATTTGGTATCTGATGGTAAATATAAGTATTTTATTTTTTACATATTTTATTGATATGTTTGATTGATTTTATTAAATGTTTTTATTTTGTTCTCAAACTCTAGACCTAAATAATCCTATTTTTCCATTTTCACTTTTGTTCTGGCATACTTCTTCTTTAATGCCCAAATTGGTAACTCAGTGCTTCATTTAAAATTTCAAACACAGTATACCATCCTTGCTGTAGCTACAATTTTTGATGAGACTTTGGGGTATTTTTTTTTTGCTTTGATTTAGCAGGAAAAAAATTTACAGAGTCATTCATGCAAAATTTTGCACACCACACTAAGTATCTAATTACGCTTTCTTACAGCAGTCTATGTTGCACGTTGGATATGTGCTCTTAAATGGCTTTTTCATGTTAGGCAACTCCAAGCAATGGCATTCTAAAACTTTCACTTTTTTCCCTTGGAAAATTAGTTTATCAATTTTACTCAAAGAGTAAGCAAGTGTTATCATGACACGATCTACTAAAGTAATCATGTATATGCTTGCTTCTGGGAGAAAGACAAGTTTAGGTCAGTTTCAATTTT